TAGTTTGCAAGTTCAGATTAAAAGGAACAGTGGTTACACTACCTAAGTGTGGCAGAAAAAGGAAGAGAAAGCAGGTTGTGAAAAATCCTGCAAAAGACCTGCAGTAAGATTTGGTGGCAACAGGCACTGAGGTTTGAGTGAGCACAGTAAGGTGCGTAATAAACGCAGAAGGTTTCTATACTCCAAGTACACCACTACTGACCCAAAAGCACAATGAAAGTCGGCTCCAGTATGCGCGAAATCATTTAAATATGCCACAGAAGTTTGGGGATTCGGTTCTGTGGAGAGATGAAACAAAACTGGACCTTTTTGGCCCAATGTATCAGCTGTATGTCTGGAAGAAGAACAATGAAGCATATGCTGAAAAGAACACTCTGCCTAAGCATGGTGGTGCCTTGGTGATGCTCTGGGGCTGCATTTGTTTTGTTGAGCTATTTCAATTGCTTTTGTTTGATTTGTTCATTGCGAACAGCTGAAAGTCTGTTAGTTTTGTCAATAAAACTGATTTTCAATGAGGGCTGAATAATTTTGATTACAACTGTATTTTTACTGTAACTAAAGCTTTAACAATTTGGTAAATCAGGGAATTTGTGAATCCACATGCTCCAACATAGGTCTTGGCGTGGAACAAGAAGCAATACAACCACTGCAACATACTGTAGCGGTAATGTTGTATAGAGTTCAATGGTGACATCCACTGCTTTCAATATCAAACTGTTTAGAAATGGTTCAACATAAACTGGGGCTTCCGAATGCTCAGGGACCACACTGATCTCAGCACATTGCTAATACAGTAGTTTACACTTACTGGTACATGCGTGGGTTCATATTTCTATGCACAGAATTGTCTTAATTGGATTAATGGAGATGGTCTTGGCGATACACATCATTAGAGCAGGAAGGATCCATATTATCCAGCAGAGATCCAGGTTAGAGGGCAATTTGTTGCAAAATGGTTTGCCCTATTGCCAGGAAATGGGGCTAGAGTACATTTCACATGGTAAGCACTATAGTGGGCTTTAGGTATTAAGATGCTTGTAGTAATCCTTTAACTCTTGAGAGTCTGAAATTACTAAACTTGATGCCTCCCAATTTTAAAATGGCTTACAGAGGGATTAGCCATAAACTTATATAGTATTAATTATGTATTGTTATTTACATCATTGAAATTCACACTCTCCCTCATGTGATAAACCATCAGCATTACCATAACATAACATGAAGCCTAGGGATGGGAAAAATATTCGGTTCGGCATTCTGAAATTCGGGACTTCGGGTAAGTGTAGGGTTGAGGTAGGGGTAGGGTCAGAGGTAGGGTTAGGGTTATGCTAACCCTACTCCAACCACTAACCCTACCCCGACCCTTAACCCTACCCCTACTCCAACCACTAACCCTAACCGACCCATAACCATACTCCAACCACTAACCCTACCCTAACCCTACCCTTAACCCTACCCTTAAACTTAACCCTACCGCAACCAATAACCCAACCCCAACCCTTTCCTGTTTTGCCACGTTTCAGAAATCTGAAGCACTTCATCAATTCGGTTTGGTTCGGCATTACAAAATTCGGCACTTCGGAAATTCAGCAATTCGACACTTTGGCACTTCTGACATTCGGAAGCATCCGAATGTCTGAATTTCCGAAATTCGTCCAAATTTGCATTCGGAACAAAACGAATTGCACATGTCTAATGTCTAAAATTACTGATTAAATAGACTTCACCTTTGCAATTTGCTCTTGTTACCTACAACTCTGTCTATCAAGCGTAAAAGGAAACTGTTCCCTAAGAAAGTGGCATATGCAGTGGTATAAAAAGAGTGCATAATGAGAGCCTCATCT